TGTGGGGGTGCGGGCGTGTGCAAGAGGTGAGGAGAGGTGAGGAGAACTAGCATTAAATTGGCACCTCTCACACCCTTTGCTGTGCATTTTGACAAAGCTGGATCATGCATAGGATGTATGAGGACAGCTGAGCAGATGCCTGAGTGTCCTGGGGCGGCGGTTACAGATGCCACAGACCTGGACCTTTAAACAAAACTTGATTCTGTAACAGTGTTGGAGGCGGGAAGTGTAACATCCAGGTGTCAGCAGGTCCAATTCCCTCCAAATGCTCCAGGGAAGCTGCCTCCTCCATCTCATGGTGTTGCTGGCTAACTCTGTCTGCAGGTCCAGCGAGTCTGTCCTTTTTGGGGGACACTGTGAGTTTCAAAAGAAGGAGGGGGCAGGGGAAGCACTGGGCCTGCTGCTCTCCTCTCCCCCCCTCCCCCCGCCCCTGCTCTTGGCTCAGGTGTCGGCCCCCATCCCATCCGTGTCCCTGCTCTGTGTTGTTTCAGAGCATCTGATTTACTTATCATTTATTTAGTTCCTTGCCGAGGATATGCTTATGGATTTTAGGGAGAGGAAGGGAGAAGATTTGTGAGAAACATCCATTGGTTGCCTCCTGTACTTGTCCCGATCCGGGTATGAACCCTCATCCTAGGTATGAGTTCTGACTGGGAATCAAACAGGAGACCCTTCAGTGTACAGGACGAAGCAAAGCATCTCATTTCTTTTTTTTTTCATGTGCAAACTGTCATCTTACCAATGAAATATGTCCAGACCAATATTGTTATTATTTTTATTTTTGTTAATCCTCACCCAAGCATATTTTTCCATTGATTTTTAGGGAAAGTTGAAGGGAGAGGGAGAGACAGAGAGAAACTTCGATGTGAGAGAGACACATTGATTGTTTGCCTCCTGCATGAACCCCAACCAGGGCCGGGGAACCTGCAACCAAGGTATGTGTCCTTGACTGCAATTGCACCTGGGACCTTCAGTCCACATGCTGACGCTCTACCCACTGAGCAATCCAGCTGGGATTCCAGCACCAATACTGAGTGTCTTCTCAGAGAGGAAACACCATATTTCTTATCTGATAGCTGGTCTGCTGGTCACCACTGGTCCCACTGAAGAGATAAGCCCTGCCTCCTCCCAGGCCCCACCCCAAAGAGGGCGGCTTCCCCTTGGGCCTGTCTGGGCAGAAGGATAAAGGGGCTCAGAGGGCCCGGGACAGAAGGCAGACAGACCTGGCATGGTGAGGACGCTGCTCAAAGCCCCATCCTCTCCCTTCCCAGGCTGTGTCCCCGCCCCACATCTCCTCACTGGCTCTCCTCCCT